GCAGGTATCAATCCAATCCTGGAAGAAATCATTGGAAAGCTGTGAAGAGATTTTTCAGATACCTGAAGGGAACTACAGATTATTCACTATGTTATAGTGGAAATGATTTATACTTGAGAGGATATACAGATGCTGATTGGGCTGGTGATCGGAATGATAGAAAATCAACATCCGGTTATGCCTTCTTACTTAACGGTGGTGCTATATCATGGAAAAGTAAGAAACAAACCTGTACATCCCTTTAAACAATGGAAGCTGAGTTCGTAGCTTGTGCGTCTGCAGCACAAGAAGCTGTTTGGTTGAAGAGATTCTTTGAGCATTTGGATATTACAAAGAACTCTCAGGGTCCCATGACTCTATATTGTGATAGTCAAGCGGCTATTGCATATATAAAAGATCCTAAGTATCACAGCAAGACCAAACACATTGACATCAAGTATAACTTTGTAAGAGACATGGTAGCAAGTGGAGAGATAAATTTACAGTACATTCCTACGCGAAGCATGATAGCTGATCCTTTTACAAAGGTGACATCTAGAGACCTGTTTGAGAAACATGTTATGGCTCTAGGTTTGTGAAGGATATGAACATATTTATGTATTGTAAAACGACTTAAGTATTACAATACGCTCATCAATATTTGACTCTTGAATTATGCTTATATCGCGTATGTATGTGATGATGTTTTGTTGATAAAGTGTGTCGAACAAGTCGCGAGATTGGCTCTCTCACACGAGTAATCGCCTCTTACGTTAAGAATCGAAGAGATGAGACCTTATAGAACCTTGGATAATGCAAGGTTATATTTACTTGTAAAGGTCGATCTTGATAACTAATTAGACTTATGAATTTCAATATTCGATTATGACTTGTTTTGTAAGCCAGATGCAAGTTTCTCTAAGAAGATGGTTTGAGGATTATTGAAGTGAGAAACTCAGGTTAGACACTTGAAGGTGTCTAGACCAAGATCTGTACGGTGTTGGATGATTAAAATAATAAGACACACGCACCAATATAAGGTGAGAACACCGTGACATGTGTTTCATACCACGTGTGCTACCGACCATGGGATAATGGAAGAATGAATCCCTGCTTCTTCATTGTGTGAGATCCCAAAGAAGTTACATTAACTTTTATTAGAATACCCTTTAACCTTTTACTGTTTCTTGAAGCGCCAATCAGTGTTGCTACTTTAGCATGTTACTAATAGCCATGAGTGATTGACAATGCAGTGCATGTCTAAGAAAGCAGTTGATTTGGAATGGAAAGATTCGAGTAGAAAGGGAAGACAAATAAATAAATTTTTTTTTGCAATTTAACTTGTATTCATAGGTCAACCATTACACTTACCATGAGGGTATCAAATGTAATTATGAATATAAAGTTAAACATGAACTCGAGTTCACCTCTTTTCGAGGATGAGGGATCGAATAAGTAGCTACTGCAATAGCGAATGATGTCTGGGGTATTGCGAGTAATAATATCCTCATGCTAGTAGTGAATCCTTTCCATATGTGATTGGATTTCTACATAGAGCTTTGGTACAACCTTTAATTGGTTTTGGAATTTTGCAGCTCTTTGTTCTCGCAGGTCGCACAAACTATTTGCCAGTATGAAAAGTGTGTCAAAGACATCGGTCTAGCCCACTATGAGCGAAGTGGGAGATGTTGGATTATGGGTCATGGGTCGCTCCATGTGGGCTGACCCGACCCGGTTAGGAGAGATAAGGGAGAGAGGTTAAAGGGAAGTTACCACTAAAGCACAAACACCCACTAAATTGAACGTGCAAAAGGGGTGAGTGGTGGGTTATCTTCCTTAACCGCTATTACTCTCCCTATTTATCTGAAGGGGACAATATAGAACAGAGCACCATAAGAATTTTCTCTGAATCTCTTCTTCTCCCAACGAAAACACACACAAGTAAGGGAATCTAATTGGTGGAAGATTAACTTTATTTCCTAGCGATTCAAAGTTCGGTTTGGGGCAATTGTTTCGGTGGTGAGTTCAACAATTCTTCTGCTGCATTGACAGGTACGCTAATGTTGTTCTCGCCCCGCGCTTATTAATCAAACATCCCATATCCAGAGGATGAAAGTAGCAGAGATGCGGATGCTGAGGTGGATGTGCGGGCACACTAGGATAGACAAGATTAGGAATGAAGATATTCGGAAGAAGGTGGGCGTTGCCCTTATGGATGACAAGATGCGGGAAGCGAGGCTCAAATGGTTCGGGCACGTGCAGAGGAGAAGTCTTGATGCACTGGTGAGGAGGTGTGAGCGGTTGGCCGTGGTGGGTACGAGAAGAGGTAGATGGAGACCTAAGAAGTATTGGGGAGAGGTGATCAAGCAGGACATGGTACGACTGCAGATTTCCGAGGACATGGCCCTTGATAGGAAGGCCTGGAGGTCAAGCATTAGGGTTGTAGGATAGGAGTAGTAGAGCTTTCCATACTTCATTCCGGGGGTGAGGCGGGGTTCGATTAGGGTTGATCTTAGATGGATTGCAGTTTATGTTGAACCCACACTATTCTTGCTATTTATATTAGACCCGGGCCTTAGACTCTGGTTACTGTTATTGCATGTCATTTCTCTTTTGGTTTTTATGCTTCTGTTACTTAACGGTTTCTGCTGGAGTTACTAATGAATTCTCTTTTCTTATTTTTTTTATGTCTGTCTTTATGAGCCGAGGGTCTATCGAAAACAACCTCTTTGCCCTATCGGGGCAGGGGTAAGGTCTGCGTACACATTACCCTCCCCAGATCCCATTATGTCGGATTTTACTGGGTAGTTGTTGTTGTTGTTGTTGTTGTTGTCTTTGCATATAAATAATATTATTCTTTGTATATCAATAATATATATATATATATATATATATATATATATATATATATATATATATATAGGAATTTCAACTAGGTAGACCATCTAGGAATTCAACCTATCATGGAGGGGTTTTAGTAAATTGCTAAGGCTTGCAATAAAATCTGAGACATAATTAACACATCCTGGTGCAGATCTGAACTGCATACAAGAAGGACTCATTCCAACCAAATTCTTTGAAAAAAGGACTTGTTGACAATTAGGATGACTCTCATGTGCCATTTCCTTATGGAAATTCGGGAGAGGTGGTTATATATATATAGAGCACATCGGACATGTGTATACCAAAATAGATATCATAAGTTTATTTTTCTTCTTTGTATACATCAAAAATTAATTTTCTTTGTATACTAAATATTATTTACTCCCACAATTATATTTATTATTTTATATTTTAAAACTTGCTTAAACATGCTATATATATCAAAATTTTATTTTTCTTTTTTGATCAATAATTAATAATTATATTATTTGTATATCACTGTGCATAACATAATAATAATGTGTACATCAAAAAAAAATTATTAAAATTTTATTTTCCTTCTTTGTATAACACATTTCAGATTGAAAACTCAAGTTCAGGACGACTCCACATGTGTATCCCGTATTGTAACTTGTGTATATGTCTATGTACAGCAGTGATATCTCATGTATATTATGTATATATGTGTATATCCATGAAAATTTGTGTTATATATACGATATACAATGTGATATACACGGGCATCCCTAACGAATACAAAGTGATATACACACACGTTCTTAAAAACTTGCGTGTGATATACACTAATGTACACGATATACAACGTGATATACACATGTCGCAGTTGGACTTTTAGGTCTGATGTTTTGCTTGAAACCATTCTAAATCACTTCTAATCTTGCTCAAATTTTGTGTATAGCCTCGTTTAGGTGTTTTCAACCAATTTCAATCACACCCACTCATTCAATCCAACCAAAAAAGGGAAGAGAGAAGAAAAACAAAGTTAAAATATATTTTTTCTCTCTTAGTTTTTGCTAATCTTGCTCAAATTTTGTACATAGCCTCGTTTATGTATTTTCAACCAATTTCAATCACACCCACTCATTCAATCCAACCAAAAAAAAAAAAAAAAAGAGAGAGAGAGAGAGAGATAGAAGAAAAATAAAGTTGAAATATATTTTTTCTCTCTTAGTTTTTTCTTCTGATTTTCTCTGATGTGAGATCAACCTTACCTTTTCATCCCACCGACTTTTTTGCATAATTTGCAAGTTTTTTTTGCTAAACTATGAGAGCAAAAGAGAAGAGATAGAAGAAGAAATACAAGGAGAGAAAGGGGGGGTGAAGCCAAAATAAGCGTGTCGTTTTTTTTTAGAGAGAATATAAAAGAGAGTAGTTTTTTTAGGATTTGGCTATATAATGCCGATAGTTTGGGCTATCTTTGCCAAACCTAATATTAAGGCTAAAAAATTATCAATTTCTGTTATGGGTTGTTATAGGATGCCAATTTTTCATGTTAAAAATACATTGTTACCATCGGCAAAAATAAGATTGCTGGCACAAAGCAAAAACAACTTTGTTAAATTTTTTGAATAATTTTTTGTAAGTTTGGTTCTTTGAGTTTGTATTAGGATAGGCAGTCTACATAAGTGAAACCTTTTTTCGAACGCTTTTGTGAATGCGAATACCTTGTGCTTCTCACTGCCATGATCCTCTAAGTTTGTCAAAAGTGAATACTATTGATTCTAATCAAATATACAAACTATGTTCATTAGATTTTATGAGAATATACAAAATAAAAGATTAACCAGAAACAACACGAAGGTCCGTCAAATTTTAAAAATTACATTATCAAAAATGAATAAATAAAATAACAAAAATTACAGCTTAAAGAATAGCAAATAATATAAAAACTACACCTCTAAATGTGAGATCATATAAATTCTTGTTTCCCACATTTCCTGTTAAATCTAAAACTAAAGTTTCTTAAATACTCGGGGAGACCAAAAGTGCTCACTTTTGATATACTTAAGGGACCAAAACTGCTCAACAAAAAAAACTTAAGAGACCGTTTTGAACCTACCTTAAACATAAGGACCGTTTTTGTTTTTTTGTTACCTTAGCAGAATCCCTACTCCCACAATGTGGCAGCCTTTTTGTATATATATGAACTTCGACTGGCGACGGGGGACGGCTCCCAGAACTGAGTGACGGCGTGTGCATCGTGGACTCGACGACCCCTCTTCTCTCTCTCTCTGTAAGTCTCTCTTTTTCTATAACTAAGCTTCACCTTTCTATTTTTCGGCATTCACAATTCACTTTTGCCGCAAAAGAAAAATTCGAACTATACTTGTTTTTGGCTTTACCTTTTTCTTAATTATCAGATTATATGTCATATTTATAGTTGAGAATCTTTTTGCTTCTCTGAAGCAGTGAGCAAATTTAGGGGTGACAATAAAATGGGTCGGCCGTACAAAGTAAAAGGGGAAAAGAGAAAAAAGAAAGAAGTGAATTATGATAAAGAAGAAATAGAGGAAACTTTGGAAGAGGAGTCAGCAAAAAGAGTGAGAACAGAACACACTGCTGTAGATACTGAGGCAGCTGAAAGAGTTGTAGATTTACTAGCTGGCATTCCTATTGTTTCAACTGATCAAAGTACTAAGCCTGGTGTTATTTTCATCATCGAGAGAGCCTCTCTGGAAATTGCTAAAATTGGAAAGGTCTCTCTCTCTTTGCAATGTCATTTTATCAATTCTTTTTATTGGATCCTTTTGAGTGTATGCTTTATAAAAATCTTATAGCTTATTCATCTTAGTAGTTATATTTAGTGTCGCATATAATGCTCAAGCTTTTCCTTTGGCTTTGTGTAAAGGAAGTAGGAGTTACCACATTGTGTGTAATGATATATCCTCTTGTTGATGCAGACTTACCAACTTCTGAACTCAGATGAACATGCCAACTTTCTCAAGAAGAATAATCGAAACCCTTCTGATTATCGGCCTGATATTGCTCATCAGGTTAGTTGGACTTTGGAACTATGTTTGAATCTTGTTAATTGTCGCAATAGTTTAAACGCTATGGTTGTCCTGTAGAGTTCAGATTAAAGTGTTTGTCATTTGAGGCAGTTTCTGCATGTGGGCCTTAGGTTGTGTAACGGTAACCAGCAAAAAGTTGATGTGTCAACCTTGGTGGAGTTGGCTGGTAGAGTTTCCTGGTCAGGTATTTAGTAGAGACTTGATTCCATTAAAATGAGCTAACTGATTTCATGAGTTGGTCTTTAGACCTTAGTTTATAGATGTGGCCAGCCAAAGCTATAAAACAAGCAGGCTGAGACAGAATGAACTTGTACTGAATGTGTGTGAATTTTCTCAGGAGCTCAATTAGTGGGCACTAAAAACTGGATGGGTTTTAACAAGAAAGTAATTATTTTGACACATAAGGTAAATATATGTACCTGCAGTACAAAAGAATCTGTTCGAGTCCAGTGGACTCACGACAATTCATGTCAATGGGTAAATGTGATAAAAAAAATGTAGGAAAAAGGGAGTGAAATGTAAAAATTAGATAGTTTCTATGTTCTAACTATATATAAAGATTACAATCTTTTTGAAGGGAAAAGAAAGGAAAGAGTGGCAAACAAATTGGGATAGTGGGTATATTAAAGAATCATCTCAAATGATGTTTATTTATCCAAATTCTAGCCGAGTCAGAATAACCTGGGATTATTCAATGCTGGAAATGCTAAGAAAGAAAAATGAGAAGGAAAGAGATATCTGGTAGTTGGCCATGAAATCACCAAGTAGGCATCTTCACAGCTCTTTGATATCTTTATTTTATAATGATAATACATTCAATTTCTTTTGGGTAATTAAGCATTTTATTAATCACCACGTATAATTTTACAAAACACAGCTTAGCCAAATTAAAACAAAAAAAAAAAACCAGAATCTCTGCTACACTCCTATCCGAAAACTATACTACCATAGAACTAAAAATAACATTTCTGTAATAGCTCTCTAGCTCCTCTGGTTGCTCTTACACTGCATACACATGCAATCTCTTTAGCTAAACTGTCCACATTTCTTGGTACTTTTTCAAAATCCTGCAATTTCTCTCACACCAGATGGCATGGACACTCTCTGCATATAGCATCTTCATTACTTGTGCTTGCTTAGATTTCCCTTTGGCCTTCTGCAGTACCCATAATTGCTGTTGTTCCCAAGAAGTGATTCTGCCTCTATTGTACCCGTTGAAGTAGTCTTCTCCACAGGCTCTTTGTGAACTCACATTCAGAAAAGAGATGAGCATTAGTTTCAGGCTGATTCTGACATAACACATATTGGATCCAATGTAATAACCCATTAGGTCATTCTATCAACTGTGTTCAGTCTCTCATGTAACTGAGTCCACATTGTAAACACTGTCGTGGGTCTAGCATCGTTTTTGAATAACAGACATCTCCATGGTACCTTTGGGTGGACACCAGTTAGTTGTAAGTATATGTTCCTAATTATGCTCTGATTCCCTGTTGTATTGACTTGTATCTGCCTGAATTGATCCCTTGCTTATAATATTTTCCTAACCATCCAGATAGCTTGCTGAGGAATAAGCATGTTACTCAACTGCTGGCCTTTGATGTAGTAGGAGTGAATCCACTTAATCCAGAGCTTGTTCTTTTTGTCTTCCAGATCCCAACATACTTTTGTTCTAGCTGCTTGTTCCATTCTTAATTCGTTAGATTAAATCCACCTGCAGACTTTGGTAAACACATTTTCTCCCAAGCTACTAGTGCTTTCTTAGTTATAGTATTGGAGCTTGACCAAATGTAGCTTCTACAGTAAGCCTCAATGGTCTTACTCACTTTAGCAGACAATACAAATAGCTGGGACCAGTTGGCTTGGATGCCAAATCAGGGTTATTAAAAGCGAGCGCTTCTCGCTTAAAGCGTTGAAGCGAGGCAAGGCGCAAGGTCTGTGCTTTTCTGGCCTAAAGCGAGGCATCTGAAAAAAAGCGAGCGCTTCAGGCAAAAAAGCGAGAAGCGAGGCGAGGAAAAAAAGCGAGAAAAGCTCGCTTAAGCGAGGTCCAGTTGCTGCCTAGGGTTTTTTCTAAAAAAAATTGCAAATACACTTACGCACCTTTCTTCCAAAACATTTCTCGCTACTGCTACAAGCCAAAACATCCTGTGACATCTCTTTTTCAGTTCTTTTCTTATTCTCTCAAGGAAAGTTTCTCTTCTCTTCCTCCTCTGCTTTTCTCCAGTTTACCTGCTTCCTCTCGACTCCCCTCGTCTCTCGTCTTCTTTTTCTCTTCTTCTTTTCTAATTCTTTTCAGTTCTTCTTTTCTCTATTCTACCCTGTTTTCTAGTTATGCTACTCCCCTTTTTTGAAAAAACAACTGCTGTTCACTGGTTCTGCCCTGTTCTACCAGTTCTGTTTTTGTTTTTTTTGGTGATTGTTGTAAATTTTATCTCATTATCCAATGGCATCAAGCCAAAATAAAGTTCCAGCTTGGGCGTGTGGAGTTGCAATTGGCAATAGCACAAAAGTCCAATGTTATTTTAAGAATTGAAACATTATCATTTATTTATGCCTATTTAATATGTTTTATTATGTATTAAATTGCGCTTCACATGAAAAAAGCGCGCGCTTCGCTTTCCGCTTTTCGCTTCGGTGAAGCGAGGCCTCCTCGCTTTTTTCCGCTTCTCGCCCTCCAAAACACTGTGCCAAATATCACATGCTTCACCAGTTGAATTATCCCTGCATATGTCAATTTCTAAGCAGTCTAGGATGAAATTCTTGCTACAATCTTCTCTATAAGGGGCTGCCATTGAATCAAAGACAGTTTTTTAGCATCTAATGGTATCCCCAAATATTTAAAAGGCAGGTCCCTTGAGAATACCCAAGTTGCTGAAGAATCTCAACCTTTTCATTCACTTTTCTAGTAGCACTATTTCAGATTAGTGGTTAAGTTTGTTTTTTCGCTTAGTTGCTCAACCAACATTCGGCGAGTAAGTGTTCTCCACTGGCCCCAAAAAAGAAGAAAAGAGAAGCTGATATGATTTTAGGATCTACACATTTAAGTGATCAAACCATCCTTATTAAAATATGTGGTTGTCTTCTTGTCACTTTTGCTTTCAAGGATAGCTTCCGGGGCGTTCTACCACGGAAGCTATCCACCTTATTAGGAGGTTGGTGGAACAGTACATGGGTAGGAAGAAGGGTTTGCACATGGTGTTTATTGATCTGGAGAAAACGCAAGGTTCCTAGAGAGGTCCTATGGAGATGCCTGGAGGCAAAAGTGTGTTGGTTGCTTACATTAGGGTGATTAAGTATAGGTATGATGGAGCTAAGACTCGGGTTAGGACAGTGTGAGGCGACTCGGAGCATTTTCCAGTTGTTATGGGGTTACATCAAGGGTCTGCGCTCAACCCAATCCTATTTGCCCTGGTGATGGATGCACTGACACACCATATTCAAGGGGAGGTGCCATGGTGTATGTTATTTGCTAGTGACATAGTGCTGATGGATGAGACGCGAGGTAGCGTCAACGAGAGCCTGGAGGTTTGGAGACAGGCCCTTGAGTCTAAGGGTTTCAAGTTGAGCAGGACTAAGACGGAGTACTTAGAGTGCAAGTCCCGCGTCGAGCCGACGGAAGCGGGATTGGGCGTGAGGCTTGAATCACAGGTCATCCCCAAGAGGGACTACCTTGGGTTGGTTATTCAGGGGAGTGGGAAGATCGACGAGGATGTCACACGCCATATAGGGGTGGGGTGGATGAAGTGGAGGTTAGTGTCTGGAGTCCTGTGTGACAAGAAAGTGCCATCGATTCTCAAAGGTAAATTTTATAGAGCAGTGGGTAGACCGACCATGTTGTGTGGGGCTGAGTGTTGGCCAGTTAAGAACTCACATATCCAAAAGATGAGAGCAGCTGAAATGAGGATGTTGAGGTGGATGTGCAGGCATACTAAGATGGATAAGATTAGGAATGAAGATATCAGTGGGTGTGGCCCCGATGGATGACAAGCTGTGGGAAGCAAGGCTCAGATGGTTCGGGCACGTTCAGAGGAGAAGATCAGATGTGCCGATGAGGAGGTGTGAGCGGCTAGCTTTGGTGGGTTCGAGGAGAGGTAGAGGGCGGCCTAAGAAGTATTAGGGAGAGGTGATCTGGCAGAACATGGCATGGCTTCAGATTACCGAGGACATGGCCCTAGACAGGAAATTGTAGAGGTCGAGCATTAAGGTTGTAGGGTAGGAGGTTGTTGTGCATATTTCTACGGCGCATCAGAGTGAGGTGTTCTGTTAGGACTTAGTCTTAGACCATTAGTGGTTAATGTTGAGTCACACTACTCTTTCGTTCCTTATAATGCCGGGCTTTATCTACTGGTTATTGTTTTGCTGTTCATCTATTTCTGGTTCTGGTGATGTTATTTGTTTCATGGTTTCTATTGATGGTACTAATGTATTGCCTCTTTTCGTCTTCTTTTCGCCTTCTTGAGGCGAGGGTCTTTCGAAAACAGCCTCTCTGCCCCCTCGGGGTAAGGGTAAAATCTGCGTACACACTACCCTCCCCAGACCCCACTAGTGGGATTTGAGCAGGTCGTTGTTGTTGATAATAACTGTGTCCTTCCATATTCAGTCTGGTAAATTAGCAATATAAGTTGTAATTCCCTGCACAGCAAGTGAGAAAGGAATTGGTATTCACTAACTTTATTTGCAATTTATTGTTGCAGTAAGTTTCATGATTGCTTTACGAGGCTATGTAATTAGTTAAAATACTCGTATGCCTTTTTCTAGAATGTTTCTATGATATCTTTTTTTTCCTCCCACAGGCAATGCTTACAATATTAGATAGCCGAGTAAATAAAGCTGGACGATTAAAAGCGTTGTATGTGAAGACTGAAAAAGGTGTCCTATTTGAAGTAAAACCTCATGTTCGTATCCCCAGGACATTTAAGCGATTCGCTGGTATCATGTGTAAGTTAAATTACCTTGGGAAATGTTTCTTCCCCATCTCTTTTCATGCAAATTCTGCTGTTATCTAATTTTGCTTCAAATTCAGTGCAGCTGCTACAAAAGCTGAGCATAACTGCTGTTGGTAAGCGAGAAAAACTGCTACGTGTTATAAAAAACCCTGTCTCTCAGTACCTACCCATTGACTGTCGGAAGATAGGTGAATAAGTTTCTGTCTTAGTTCCTCCCTTCTCTAATAGAACGTCCTTGACAATTGACTAATTCTTCCACTTCTCTTATGCTTCAGGCTTCTCTCATAGTTCTGAGAAACTGGTGGATATTCAAGACTACGTTAATGGAATTAACAATGACATGAACCTTGTTTTTGTGGTATGTTCTGGTGTAATTTTCAATAGAAGGTTAATTTTATGGGAATTTGTAGTTTGCTTGATAAGTTGATATCTGACATATACAGGTTGGGGCAATGGCCCATGGAAAAATTGAAAAAGATTATGTCGAAGATTATATATCTGGTAAGCTAATTGTTCCTCTTTTCCTTTTTATTTTTCATCAATATTAGTTAGAGTGCTATAGTTTGATTTTTCCGCCTGTCTTTGTTATACACGATTAGTCTATAATGCTTAGCAATGTGAGCATCTGTTACTTGTGTCTTTGTATGTTCAATTGGTGACACTAGGATGTTATTGATCTCCTGAATGTTAGAAGTACTAATCAAGAGCCACTTATGACTTTGGCAAATAAAAATCAAATAGGTTATCGCTGATGTAGATATTGGTTAGAATGTTAAACACGGCGAGAGAGAATGTTTTCCCCCTATGAGTTGTTTGTTTCAGTATCCGCCTGTCAATTTGGAAGCAATAGGGGTTCCAAACTGCACCTTAACATACTTGATGCTTCTAACCCCCAATGTCAAATACCACACCATAGCGTACTCATACTGTCATACTGATAAGTCTTACCCGTTATAATCTAGGCACATTTATTTTTACCTTCTGTAAATGAGACTTTAGCTTCTTTTATGATAAGCGAGGTATGCATGCATATGTTATGTAAACTCTAAACCATGTCCATGCTCTTTTCCCTAAAGGAAAACATGGGCAACCAAGGGTGTTGCTTAGTGGTCAATGAAGTGGGTGAGAACCATGAGGTATCAGGTTCCAGAAACAAAAAACACTAGGTGATTTCTTCCCATCTATCCAATCCTTGGTGGATAGAGTTACCTGGTACCTGTTGCTTGTGGGAGGTGACAGGTATCCCGTGGAATTAGTCGAGGTGCGCCCAAGCTGGCCCGGACACCACGGTTACTGAAAATTTTTTTTTATAATCATGGCAAACTATTGCGTTTTGATGGAGCTGAGCCTTGTCTAATTATCTGATGTATCTTTCAGTTTCCGATTATCCACTGAGTGCTGCGTACTGCATATCCATGGTCACGAATGCTGTGGAGCGCAAATGGAAGATTTTGTAGAGTTGTAGCTTACCTTGGTTTTTGTTGCGACATTTACTTTCTAGAATGTTATCCTTTCCAATACTCAGTCTTCATTGCCATTCTGATTCAGCATTATTCTATTGTGAAATATATTTTTGCTTCTTTTTCTTTTTTTCAGTATTAAGTTTCATATGCAATGAAGCATTTGTTGTGAATCCAACGCTTCTCCAGTTAATGATCTAAGGGAGTTGATCTTTTCTTTAAACCTTAAAAAGAATACTTCTCTTAGTATGAACTGGTCTTTTTCAAAGGTTGAAGCAGTATATCAGTATATGAAATGGAAGTCACTGAATACAAAAGAAAACGCGGAGAATGATTTGTACTTTTTGTAGAGTTGGATAATTTTATACAGCAACTTTTCCTTATTGAAAACGTTGACACTTGACTTAGTGCGCGCGCGCACACACAAGATAGTTGTCCAAAAGTGAGAGTAGGTGAGCAATTTATCAAACCCAGCATGACTATGAACACTGAAAATCTGAGAAAACCTTATAGGTAGGATAGGAAACTTCCTTGCTTATTTATAAGAAACTTGTGTTCCTCGGGCGCAGAAAAAAACAAAAATAAATATCAAAATTAGTGGATTCCTTCTCGTATATTCAAGCCTTGATGGATAGAGTTATCGGTAATAATTACCTTGTGGTCGTGGAATTGTTCGAAGGGAAAAAAATTGACAAATGTAAAAGGTTAGCTTAGAGTTTGCCTTTCCAAGTTGCACAATCCACAGTCCACACCACTAAATGAGGATAACTACATTTAGGAAATATGGAGGGAACAAATGGCAAAAAAAAACACAACTGAGCTGCTCCCATTTTCATAATGTTTGTAATTTTTTTTGCAAAGCGAACACAAGTTAAAATGTGACACAAAAAACGGGTATAGATACAAATGTCCCGTGAAAGTGCGGTTCATAATCTTCCTTTTCCACTATCTTTGTAGAAATCAGAAAATAAATGCTGTATTTTCTTGATATAACAAAAAACATCTTAAACACATTTTTTCTTTACAAATTTATTAAAATTTCCTGAAGACTGCTCATTCTAATGTATATCCTTCTTTGGTCCCAAAAAGAAAGAAAAAATTTGGAGTACAAGGTTCAACACAACTAAGTTTTGTTACGAAATTTGAACATTAATTTTTAAAATGTTTATAAAATAAATGCATCTTTAAAACTACAAAAAGGTACCATAAATAATAAACTTCATATAATAAAAGAAAAATGGGAACTCACTGGATTTGTTGTTGTTGTATATAATAAAAAGAAAAATTTAAGAAATACTGAAAATATGTGATCAAGAAAAATTATTTCACTCTTTCTATTATGGTCAATCAAGTAGTACAATAAAATAATAACAGTGCCCCTCTCTTTTAAATGGTAAAAGCACTAACATATTTGCCAATAACTTAAACATATAATAAAAGGAAAAGAAGAAAAAGAGAATGGAAAGATTATAGAAGTAAAAAGTTGACACGAGGCAAAGTATAGGCAAGTTTATTTCTTTATAAATTTATTAATTTTATTTTCTGAGAAAGAGAAAAGTCACCTGAGCTAAGAGATCTCCTAAGATAACGGAGACACAACGGTACACGGAATTGGAGACTAACTGAAAAGCCAAACACTTCCAACACCTAACGAATTCAATACAATTTCCTTCCATTTTCATAACTGCTAATAATAATGACAAATAATTAAATAAATCATTTCTATTAGTCTTCTCTTAAGAACGTGCTCACTTTATGCCTTTCCATATCTATACAGCTTCTTTCTCCGTTTTTGTTTTGGCGAAATTCTGAACTTTTGTCGTTGACGGGTATGTATTTTCATGTTCTTCTTCATTATGCTGATTCTTCACCTATTTTTCTGTTTTTGAATTTGCATGTGATCTTTAACATATATAGAGTTGATTCTTGTATAACGAACAATATGTCAAGATTGAGTTATGGTTTAATTAAAGCTTGAAAATTGAACAAGGGTTCTTTCTATCATGAATTTTGGTCAAATTCTTCTTATCCAATAGGTTGACTGAGTTGCATTACAATGGTTGATGGGGCCTTAATTTGCATGCGTAATTGACACCTTATTCTCAAGTGTGTCTCTTTCATTTTTTCAATCTTGGTGATCATATTTCTTTGTTCCTAGATTTTTGTTAAAGAAAATCGTTTGGATAGTCTAGTTGGTTTTTCATTATTGGTCTCATTGGTGTTCCATGTAGAGGCGAGAAGGTGGTTGCTTCTCTAATTTGTCACCTTCTTTTCTTGCTCTTTTGTTTTTTTCCAATTTCCTTTTGAATGATGTAATGCTTTATATATTATCTTGATCAATTCACACCCTGTAGACTAAAACTAGTAATTTTAGGACTAAAACACCCTATGAGTATATATAAGCCTTGGTGGATGGAGTTATTCGGTATTTGTGCTAGTGGGAGGTAGCAGTTACCCTCTAGAATTAGTCGATGCGTGCGCAAGTTGGCCCAGACATGATTACCAAGAAAAAAAGATGCAACTACCCCCCCCCCCCCCCCAAAAAAAAACCCAAAAACAAAACTGGAATCAACTGTACTGTAATTAGAATTTCGGTTAGAGCAAGTGAATAAAATGTACAAAAGGAAACGGATAAAGTATATTGCTGCTGAGCAACAAAGTTATTTGATTTTGCTTTCCTCACTGCCAATGTTATGTGCTGTTTGAAGTGCATATGGAAAAATGGATGGTAACTTTTTTAGTGCTTGTGATGTTAATCGTACTGGTCGTGGTGAGGAATTTCCTTTAGTTCAAATTACCAAGAGATTGATAATTGTTTATTAACTTCGAACAGTCTGATAATTGTGCACAGTGTGAACTTGCAAACTACTTCCGTTGTTGAGACAATCTCTTAGATAAAATGTCATTCTCTTTTTGTTTATGGAGGTCAGGGATACATTGATTTCAGCATATCTGTTTTCTATGTGATTCAGATGTTCTTCTAAATTGAAGACCGTACTCTAGTTACCATCATGAATTCAATCTTGGATCGCGTAGCTAAAGACTGTGGTAGACGGAATAGCTCGAGTGCGTCCACTAGTGGGGACATCTTTGAGCCTTTGTCAAGTAGTAATGGTGAGGCTGAAGGTGCAACACATTTAATACCATGTATTTGCTGATCAAACTCTCGCTTGGGCTGATTTTCTCTTTGACTGCCCTTTGTTATCTCTACAGCTAAGCAGCGCGCAACTTTGGTAGAGTGGATAAACAGTCTTCTTCCTCACTTAAGTTTGCCAATAAATGCTTCTGATGAGGAGTTAAGAACGTACTTAGTTGATGGTACAATCTTGTGTCAATTATTGAACAAGTTGAAACCAGGTTCCATACCTGAGGTAGTACTAATATATTGGATTTTACGGTAATTAGAAACTAAGTGTGACTTTTTCTTTGATGATCTGACTTACTGCTTCGGTCATTCTAGATTGGTGGTTCAGGTCATTCTTCGGGGTTAGTCTCAGAAAATATAAAGAGGTTCTTGGCAGCTATGGATGAAATTGGCCTTCCCAGGTTTCAAGCATCAGATCTAGAAAAGGTTAACACTAATATAAAGTTATGCTATTGTGTTTCTAATACAATTTTATCATTTTAAATCTGCTTATTATTATAAAAAAGGGTTATATGCATTAATTCACAGGCCATTGAGATGTATATGTTTCCATATGCAGAAAAGTTTAACTTTCTGTACCTTTAGCTACAATCACACATCTCTTTTCTGCTTTTGATTTGTGTTTACTATGATACATTATGCAGGGATCCATGAAACTTGTTCTAGAATGCCTTTTAACACTTCGAGCAGAATTTATGCCGAATGTGGGAGGAGATGGTTTTCACACACCATTATCTCGTAAATCTAGTACTGATGCAAGTACAAGATGTAAACAGTTGGGAGAAACTTTTGGATGTGCTGATGTAGCTTACAGACAGGAAATGTCAAGTACTCATTCTTCCCCCTCCTCAACAGAAGGGAAACGAAAGATAGGATCAGATTCAAAATTCCAGCGTGCTTTGAGAAGTCCTGTGATGGCAGGTCTGTTTGTTTAAGCTGAAGAATCAAACTATTGGTGAATTAGTTGTCGATCTCTATGTTCTGACTATTTCCGCAAACTTCACTAATGATATCTCTTTCTTAGATTGTTGACTTCTCTTTTTTGAACTGTCTAGAGCCATCAGCTGCGTTGTTACATCACGTTGGACATAAATTCCATGAAGTATTTCAGCTTAAACAAGGGGGCTATGCTGATCTTCCGCCTTCAAAGATTTCCGAAATGATGAAATCTAACAGTTTGGATGTTAGTAACATAACCTTTTTGTCAATGAAGCTTCGAATAAAGTTTGCATCTGAAGTTTTGATTTCATACTTATTCCAACTTATTTTTGTTGCACCCAGATTGCCCCCACGCAGTCACTTCTCAGTGTTGTGAACGGGATTCTTGATGAAAGCATTGAGCGGAAGAATGGCGAGATACCTCATGTGCGCACATAATAGATATAGATATTCATGCAGAGATTATGTTCTTTTCTACATAAGTACTTCACAAAAATTATGGCCTAACATTTAGTTGTTTAACTCTGTCAGCGTGTAGCATGCTTGTTGAGAAAAGTAGTGCAAGAAATTGAGCGGCGAATCTCTACTCAAGCTGAACATCTTAGAACGGTATAATGCAGCATAGCTGTTTTTACTTTTCCCCCAAATTCTCTTTATAATGAACCTGGCTCATGTCAATTTACTCTGTCTGTAGCAAAATAATCTATTCAAGACTCGTGAGGAGAAATACCAGTCACGGATAAGAGTCCTGGAAGCCCTTGCAACTGGGACTAGTGAAGAGACACAGGTAGTGTGGACTTCACTTTCTGTGAAATTTTTGTTGAAGTCTGGAATATTTTACTTCTTAAAGAGTATATGCACCTTTCGCTCACACAATCTTTCTTTTCAGATTGTAATGAACCAGCTTCAGCAGATTAAGGTAGTTCACCACCTGGCTTCATCTGCCGCATTGTTTGGCAATGATCAGTATATTTAGATGTATATATGCATTACATCCTTTTCATTTACTGTAATTGTGTGTTTTAACTCTAAATATGATCTATCTATTTGA